CTCAGTCACAGAGCGCACTGCCAAAAAAATTCCAAAATTCATGTGTGCACATAGGGGTGCATGTGCGCATGCATGCACATGCGCATACAGGTAATTTAAAAAAGATGCCTTCCTAGCAGCAGAATGGATCTGCAGGTTCAGACTGCCAAATCCATTTTGCACACGCTGTCCCGTGTTCAGACATCCGGCCATGTGCAATGACTGCACAGGGAACCAACAACACCTCTTGTGATGTGGTGCCCTTTTAACCTGGCTCCAAGTCATCCTATGACAGGATAAGTATGGCTGGGGAACTCCTGACAGATGTGGCTGTCTGACTGCACCCATTTGATCCAGAGGAGAGAAGTGCCTGTGTTGGGCCAAACTGCCCGAATGATCACGGCCATTCAATCCTCACATATGTATAACATATAATGTTCTGAATATGCCAATAAAAATAAATAAAAAAAACATATGCATTCTCGCCAAGTGGGGCTATACATCCCCTATATTTTGATGTTTTTCTTTTCTTTCTGTTTTTGAAATAGTATATTATAATAGTGATTGTAATGTAATGCAATGCAATATCTTGTTGATCTCTGACATAACACTGCACCTCAGGAAAAGGATTCTGTCAGTTAACTCCATGTGTTGGTGAAACAAAATGTTATTACTGCTCTTAACAATTAAGAATGTAATTGAATATGTAATGTAATTTGGAATGGTAGATTTAAATGTAGTTCTCTGTTTTGGGGACAAGGAAAATACTCTGCACAGCCAAGATGCTGTAAAGTTCACCTCCATGCTAGAAAGGAGATGGACGGGGGTCTAAGGATGAGATTCTCACAAATTAGGACACATCAATCTCCAGTTCTAACATATTTATTACCTACTAGCCTGATACCAATGCTTCGCTATGGTATTTAAGTTCCGTAAATCCAGTTATAATACGGATGATGTGAAGTTTGAAATGTAACATTTGTTTGTTTGTTTTTAAAGCTCCCCGAGGGGGAATTTTTTATTTGCATTTATAAAAAACTACAACAGAAATTGGGGAGGGAGAGTATACAATCTATAGGAAAAAGTAAAGAAACCTAACTAAAAACCCAAGAATGGAGGTTTTACAATGCTTAAAACATAGTTATTACTCTTATACATTTGCTTTCAAACATGAAGAGTGCCCGCCAGTCATCGCTTCTGCTGACAAAACCTGCTTATCTGACTGAACAGAGAGTAATTCCAAAGCTATAACACACATAATCACAGCCCTTAAGAAAAATTTAGCATCTCCATGCTTTACTCCCCCCCCTAGGCAAATTCTTCCGTCTTCGATGTATCTTCTTTATTCAATTATCTTTTAGTTTTTATAAGTCCGGATCTGTCCATTCATGATATAAACCAAGTTCCTTTGTTCCCTGGGACATCAGTTCCTTAAGCGTCTTAGATCAAAAGAGATCAATAACAACACGCTCATTGGAGATTCCAACCTTTCTCTTAGCAAGCAGATCATATAAAGTTAGGGTAGCAAGCCCTTTACTCCAAAAAACCCGCTTTTCGATCAGTTTACCCGTCCAGCCACAAAGAACTAAACTTATTGTCTCCTTGCCATTCATATATCTCTATGATCAACGTACTGTCCGTTTAAAAGTGTAGCTGTTTTTAGTACAGATCCAGATCGCTTCTCACTTTAGCCACCAGAGGGCCCACGATTCACTTTAAAGACAGAGTCTATGGTTAGGTCACAACCTAACTTTCCACTGTCCTCCTTTCTGAAGAAAGCATTGGTCCCGCCTTCCTCTTCGCTGCTCGTCGCCATCTTTTGGGGATGTTTACATCAGCCGAGAAAGAATGCCAAAGTCTCTAAGTTCTGTTTAAATGCTCCGCTTTCTTTTAGAAAAACTCTCCGCTACAGTCCATCGCCACAGTTTGATCAGTCCCTCCCTCCTTGCTTTCGCATTTTGCTTAAAACGTCGGGAGATAGGGCGTCCCCTCCCCCCCTCCGTTTATACGCTTGTAGTGTCTCGTTTCAACGACAACTCACTCATCAATCCTTGAATCGATCCACCAGGTTCTAAGACGGCCTCTGGAATCACGCCAGGCAGAAAAAAATGCTAAACCTCCAAATTCTTGTTCCGGTGGTCGCTTCTAATCCAATACTGGGAATCAGGGCAGGACCTTCAGGGCAGAGAGTAGCCCCCTTGTACCGGCTCCCGGCTCGGAGGCAGGGCTCTCCAAAGCCCCCTGGCTAGAAGCCCATTGCCTATGGGCTTCATGGGGGAGTGTGCACAATCACGCTCCCTCCTAATCCCCGATTCATGGCACACGTCTCTCGGAGGACCCCAGAGACGCCACCATCGTTCAAAGCGCCAAAACCGGAAAAACGAAATGTAACATTTGTTGTAGGAATTCTAATGGAGAAGATTGTAGTGTAAAAAATGAAGTGAGACGTACATACTTTCCCCCCCCTCTACCGAAGTACCTCTCTGTAGACCACATTGGTAGTTCTGCCCTCAGGTGCTAGGATCACCAGGCTGCTTGGTGAGCTCACTCTGGAGCAGGATACATAGAACTATCCATTTAAGAAGCAGTTGTCTGTTAATTGAATTCCTGCCACCTTCCACGAAAGTGATGGCCTCTCTACTTGTGTCCCTGGATTGTTGTGCTCATATGAAGACTGTGTTGTTCTGAGCACCTCAGGGTGATCTTGCTGGTACTTGGCCTGTGCAGTTCATTGCCCTGCAGTAGTACTATGTGCAAATGTCTTTGCCACATTCCTAAGTTGCCTCTTCCTTGTAGCGTTGGTGTATCTGGCTCGACGTTTGCCAGGAGCTTTCTTGGGGGCAGTAAGAGGTGAGAGGGGGAGTTGGTGTGAGGGAGTGGTGATGTGGTGGACATTTCTTCAGGTTCAAGAGGGAGGCACACATTGAAATAGCTCCTAGAAATATCCTTTACTATCTCCCCATAAACATTAATTCTCTGGTCCTGCTCCTACACCTGACAGACACCGGCCTGTCTGGTATTGGGGGGGGATTGTATTTATAGGTATCGGGGAGGCTGGGCCAGCAGCAGTGCTAAGGCAATCCTGCTGTGCAAACCTCCCCGGTGACTGTAAGCATCCCACCTCCTCTCCTACACCTGACAGGCAGCTGCCTGTCCAGTGTAGGATGGGGAGGGGGGAGGAGTATTAGAAACCACTGTGGAGGCAGGGCTGGCAGCAGGAGTCCGTTGGGCACACGAAAGCTCACATCCTGAATACAAATGTGTTGGTCTTAAAGGTGCCATTGGACTCTAACTTTGTTGTATTTGGGGATGTAGACAGCGTTCCGTCTAAGCTGAGTTAGTGTGAGCTAGCTCAGTTTTTTAGCCTCCAGCTCATACATTTTTGTCTTCGCTCAGGAAGGATGGCTCCTGAGCAAAGTAATTTATGCAGCAGCCAAATCACTTGCTCACAACTTTGATGCCAGCAGCTCACAAAGTAGAATTTTTGCTCAAAAGACTCCACAGCTTAGAGGGAGCAGTGGATGTAGATATATATAAGAACATAAGAAGAGCCCTGCTGGATCAGACTAGTGGTCCATCTAGTCCAGCATCCTGTCTCACACAGTGGCCAACCAGTTCCTCTTGAGGGCCAACAAGAAGATATAAACGCCGAGGCCTTCCCTTGATTTTGCCTTCTGGCTCTGAGATTCAGAGGATTAGTGGTTCTAATGTGGAGGTTCCCCTCAGTCACCATGGCTAGTAGCCATTGATTCTCCATCAATCTAGCTAATCCCCTTTTAAAGCTGTTTATTCCTGTGGTCATCACTACATCTTTTGGCAGCAAATTCCATATTTTAATCATTCTCTGTGCAGTGTTTCCTTTTGTGTGTCCCGAACCTACTGCTCATCAGTTTCATTAGATGCCCTTGAATTTTGGGAGAGGGAGAAAAAGTTCTTTGTCAACTCCCTCCATCCAATGCATAATTTTATAAATTTCTGTCATGTCCCCCCTTAGTTGTCTCTTTTCTAAACTGAACAGCCTCATACGGAAGGTGCTCCAACCCCCTAATTCTCCTGGTTGCCCTTCTCTGCACTTTTTCCAGCTCTCCACTGTCCTTTTTGAGAAACGCTGACCAGAACTGCACACAGTATTCCAAATAAGGGTGCACCATAGATCTGTACAGGGCATTACAACATCGGCAGTTTTATTCTCAATCCCTTTCCTAATAATCCCTAGCAGAGTTTGCCTTTTCCATTGCTGCAGCACACTGGGTTGACACCTTCTTTGTATTATCATCTATGACCCCAAGATCTTTTTCCCTCTCAGTTTCAGCAAGTTCAGACCTCATTAGCCTATACTTGGAAGGTGGGATTTTTTGTCCCAATGTGCATCACTTTACACTTACCAGCACTGAACTTCATTTGCCAAATTGTCAACCACTCACTCAGTTTGTGCAGGTCCTATTGGAGTTCTTCAGTCAGCCTTAGTTTTCACCATGCCTTGCATTATTATTGTTATTTTAAGAAACTGCATAATCAGGCAAACTGTTCAGCTCCTCCTGTGATTAATTTATGTTAATCATTGTTACACACCAAGCCACTGACATCTGCCAAATGCACAGATGGCTTATTACAGAGGATCTTGACACTAACAGGGTGGTCTTTTGTATCATATTACCTAGAAAGCTAGAGAAGGAAATTACCTCAGTATTGCTGCCAGCAAATAACCCATGATATAGCTCTACAGGTTAGACCTGTAGTATCATATGAATTTGGATACAGGGATAATACTGTATATTATTTTTCTTCATATGAATCAAAGCTAGACCTGCTGTCTACATGTTTGTTATATTTTCAACAGTAAAGTAACATCAGATCCACTTCAGATACACAACACACTTTCAACTATCAGAAGGTAGATTTTCATACAGACAAGAAGCTTTATTATTGTTGTTGCATCACATGGTGACACTCTGAAAACTCATGTTTTCTGTATTAAAAATTCCCTTTGGGAAACAAACATACATAATAGGATGGCTATACAGACCTTGCAAATCAGAATCTCCTAGAGATACTAGTATCTGTAAGCCCTTGAGTTCAGATACTGTTTTATAAAGCATTTATAGCTTCAAAATATGACCATATATTTTTAAAGACTCATCGTTTCCAGATACATGAAGAACTTGCAACGTACTTTTTAAATCCCTTTAGTAGATGTGAATGAATTATAATCCTGATATGCGTTCCTAAATATATTTATTTAGAATGAAGTTCTGCTGATTACAACAAGTTTATGTATTACCAAAGCAGACTCAAATCCTATGCATACTTACTTTAGAGAGCACACCATTGAATACAATGGCACTTTCAAACAAAGTTGTATAGGATCAAACTGCAGCCTTATAGCCACTTGAAACACAGCACTAGGAACCAGTGGGGACTGTATCATTGGATGCAGCAGGATAACATATTTAATGTCCCCCTACATACACACACATTAAAAAAACCCTTCCTGAACATACACTAACACATCACCATTAAGATTTCTGCCACGCTAGCATTCTGCATAGAGGGTTTTTTGTTGTTGTTTTTAATGTGAGGGAGCAATCCAACATGCAATGTTCCGTCTATAATCTGAAATGGAACAATCTAGGAATAGCTGAACTATATATTTAATTGGCAAAACAAAGCAAAAGGAAAGCTTTCACTGAACAGTGTTAAACTGCAAGCCAGGCTAAAGTTATCAACAGTGTTGCATCTATTCAGCTGATTTCCAAGACTGCACATATGTGCATTAACTGGACCTGATGAAGCATTCTGCTATGGTAAATAAAACTCCAAAATGTTACCTCTCGATTTTTAACTGGAAAAAAGTCTACTTTCATAATACTTTCTGCCAATCCATTGTAAATCTCCTTCAGACTGTGATTACTGTAATGAGTATGTCATATTCTTCACAATACCATTTTGTAACATATGAAGAGGGTCTCCTACATAGCAAAACTGAAAACTATGATGTCAATACCACAATATAATGTTTATATCTTTATACATTCATTTTCTCTTTGTTTTTTTCCTATCACTTTCCACGCTACTGTCACTATCACTAGTTTCACGCTGTCTTTTCATTTTAGGCATGTCTTCATTCAATGGATGTAGTGTGTGGTTCTTTGGTTCTGAGTACACATGTTCAAAAGAGGTTTGTCCAGGATTTGAGTAGGGTGATACAGGAAAACTTGGAAACTGTGGTGGAGGTGGTATCATCTGGTAGTAAGGAAACTGTTGTTCCACTGTATTATATGGTATATATTGCTGTGCTAAGAAATAAGTCATCTAGAAAATAGAAGAGACATCAATGTCATATTTCAAAGAGTGATAATAAGAGTGATATTTTTAGATTTACCTCAGAAAACAGAAAATAGTGAATCCATACTTTGGAAGTATGCAAGCTTTTCAATTGCCTTTCTCCAAACTATCTAATGAAGTAATTCTCCACTATACATCCATAAAATGATCCAAGATGATCTTGAGGAGAGGTCAGGTTTCAGGAGCAAAGTGTCCACTTAGCATGCAAAAGGTCCCAGTTTCAATCTTCAGTTACACAAAACGGATTGTGCGTAATGTGAAGGACCTCATCATGAGACTCTGAAGCAACACTGCTGCCAAAGTAGACAATATTGGCCTTGATGGTATAAGGCATCATATAAGGTATAAGGCATCATATGCATGAATTTCAGCCCACACAGCCTTCTGGGACTGTACAGAGGCACTGAGTGGTCAAATTAGCACCTGTACAAACCTTGTTTGAGTTCATCGTCATTGACCAACTGATTATTTCCACCAGAATATAATACTGGCATAAGTCATTAAGGTCTCCTATTTTTATTTTCTTTTACATACTAACAGAGCTACTCATATGGAACTAACACAGGCAGTTTTATTCTCTGTTCATAAGAATCATATGTTCATATGTTCATTCTCTGCTCATATGAATCAGCCCACATTAAAAGGAAAACAGGAAAGGTGATATGCTCTACCAAAGGATGACCTTTGACACTGCTTTTAAAGTCATCCAAAGGAGCATCACCACCAATTACTACAAAATGGTTACTTGCCAGGAATCGTTAAGAGACAGCTACACCACTAGATGCTGAGGACAGAGTTGCACAATGGGGATTACCACAGATACAGAAAATTCCTTCTCTGTGCTGTAAAGGAATGCAGTGTAGCAAGAACCCAGAAGAGGAAAACTGCCAAAGTAATCAGGTATTGGTTCAGGTATAGGTGCAGACAAAGAATAAAAGACAATCTCCAGGACCATGAGAAAGTATATTGAACTTCCACAAGATCCACAGTTGTCCTGTGCGTTCTGCAGCCTATATAATCTTCCAATCTATCACTGTGATGGATTTATAAGGGTTACTTCAAACTTACCATGTTTTGAAAAGAAGAATATCCCTGAAGTGGACTACTGTTAATCTGGAAAGGACTAACAGGTAATGGAGGTGTACCATAAAGCTCTGAATTCCTATTAAAAAAAAACATGGACATGTGAGAGAAGGTCTCTAAGTCTTCAGCCAACAAAGACTGACAGATGTGATTTGTTTTCTTCAGTTACTCAGTGGAATATCTTATCCATTCCATAAAAGGAACACACATTAAGGCTGCACACTTTCCATGGAGTAAAGTCACTTTGATCATGTAAAAGTACATGATTCCCTTCACATATAATTTAGGAAATAATTCAGGATGATGGAAGAGCTACTTGCATGAATTATTATTTTAGGAAAGTATGTATGCATGCATGCATGTAATTGGGGCTGATAAGAACCACCAAGTTTATTAACAGATTATTATATCTACTAGTCATAACCAGAATCAAGAGTCTAGAAACTAATAAACTTTATAGGAAGACATTTATCAGTAAGGGCTACAAACTAATAAAGAATGTAATTAATTTTAATTGTTGGGGAGGTGCCATAGCTAGATATTAAAGCACCTGCTTTGCATTCAGAAAGCTCCAGGTTATATCCCTGATATTTCCATTTTTTTTAAAGCGATAGGTAATAAGTGATGTGAGAAACCTTTCATGAGACTCAAGAGACCTACTACCAATCACAGCAGACAATATTGACCAGCAGCTTCATACATTCAATTGATTATGTATCTTTTAAAAGTAATTCACAAAGTCTCAAGGAGGTTACGGTTTTAAGGATTCTGAAGGAGATAGTTCTTTTTATGTGACATAAGAGGAAGCCATATTTAACCAGTATATCTTTTCAGCCTACAAAGCAACACACCATTCAAAGGAGAAAAAAGTTTACTGTCAACACTACTAATTAATTGAAGGGGAGGAGCAAATTTCAATCTGAAATTAAACCTTGACTCAGCTTCATTAGTGAATTCTACAAAACACTTCCTTGGGAGTTCCCACTGAACTTGGGACCAAACTAGATCTGATGTGAATGGAGCTCCCTGCAGATTTTTTCAAAAAACCACACGGAGGCCTGATTTAGATCAATATTGTGACACAAAGGAAGGAGGATAATTTAAGCCTTGCCTTCCCATACTATCTTCCTGACCTGTACTAGCCCCATCAAACTGTTACTGTCCTCAATGATAAAATAGACACTTAACCAATATGGGCTACCTGCCTCAACAGTCAAACGGCATCTCTGTGGGCCCACTTCAGGCCAGAAAAATAATGTGTGTGGGGGCGGGGGAGAGACTTACAATGGGATTGCAAGGATGTAACTCTGCACAGGATTGTACTGTTCATTCTTGCACCACTGTACCTGATCCAAATCAGCCTTACGCACACCTGCTATTAAAAGAGAAAAATACACAGGGAGCTCCACTCATGAAACTCCCAGTTTGAAATAATACTTGGAATTACCCCTAAAAGCCTCATCCCAGAAGCCTTTCTAAACTCAAGAATCTCAGAAGCCTCTTGATACATGGCACTATAACAGAGAAAGGCTGTTAAAAGACATCTTAAAAAGCTGTACACTGTTGTTTTTAAGACTGGAAATATCTCTGTTACTTGTAAATATTACAGAAATAAGCAACTCTAGCACCTGTATGTTGGTGACTGTATATCAGCAGTGCTTTCCACATTCTGGCAATGATTGCTTAACTCTGGACAGTGTGAACTCCCTGTGAACACAATATTTATATTATTAATGTTAGCCATTTTACACCTTTTCATATATAGACAATAACACTTTAGAGTTTGTCTGTAGACTAAAGATCGGTTGTAATAGAGCAACCAAAATCAAGCATTCATATAACATCTAACACTACTACAAAGGTAAAGGTTCCCTTGCTCGAAAGCCAGTCGAATCCGACTCTAGGGTTGCGGTGCTCATCTCTGTTTCCAAGCCGAAGAGCCAGCGCTGTCCGAAGACGTTTCCGTGGTCATGTGGCCGGCATGACTAAACACCAAGGCGCACGGAACGCTGTTACCTTCCCACGGAAGTGGTACCTATTTATCTACTTGCAATTTCTTGCTTTCGAACTGCTAGGTTGGCAGGAGCTGGAACTAGAGACAGGAGCTCACCCCATCTTGCGGCACCTGGTCTTGAACTGCTGAACTACCGACCTTCCACAGCATTAACTAAAATAGCACACTCAAAAATCTCCAGCTAGATTCTGCATCTTTTTATGGAGAATAATTTCAGATTTTAGATTCTTTAAAATTCTGTAAGTAAAGGAAATATCTAGCATAGCAATTCCTAATGGTTTATACAGATGCTTATTGATACATAGTTGCTGACAGGATCAAAACACTGAAAAGCCAAAATGAAGGCCAGGATTCAAAAAACCATAAAGCTAATTCGGTGAATACAAGGGGAGGGGGGATTAGACTTGTTTTGAAACTGAAAAACTGGTCTTAAAATGGAGGGAAATTTCAAAGACAGTTTGCAATATGGCACTGTGGCAGAACATGCCTACTCTGGCCTGCAGACCCCGTTCCACACTGCCCTCTTGGGAGTTACCAACTCCCTGGAGGGGCTTTTCCTTTACTCACAAGTAGCCCTCCACCACCACTTGATCAATATAGAGATTTCCCACTGAAAGGATCAGGACCCTCCAAGTTCAGAGGCCTTGCCTCAGTGTCTTCTGCTAGCCCAGCGCCTGGCTACCATGGGGATAGTTTAAAATTTTGTGTGCCCCTGGGGAAACAGCCAGTTGCCAACTGCTTGCCTTCCCTCCTCCTGGGGCTCCCTTTTAAAATAGTGTGTCCGAAACAGTGGTACAAAGAACCACTCCTCACATCAACAGTTTAAAATATTTATTTTTTAAAAAAGCTTACAAGCATATTTTTAGCACTGCACCAGACTGAAGCAAGGAAGAACAAAAGAAATTGGTAAAATGCAAATCCTCTGTCCGTCTCAGCTATACATGCCCTATCTGATGGTATAATATAGGACAGGCTCTTTCTCTTATGTGTTCTAGTTCTCTAAAGCTCTGCCATTACCTTAAAGCTTGCTCTCAGCTCTTTCAGCCAGCCACATGGTCCAAAATGGCTGCCTGCTCCCAACCTCAGACAAGAGGTCTGTTCAGTTCAGCATCCCATGGAAAAAGAGAGCAACTTCCTCTTGCAAGGAAACTTTATTATCTCTGCCCCATTGCCCAGGCCATGCCAGGTCAAATAAGTGTTTCCTCTTGGCCGCTCCTCGAGATTGTATCTGGAGCAGGTCTAGCCTAAAGCCCTCCAAACTCTGTTTCCTGCCTGGGGAAGGGAGGGAGAAGGGAGAAGGCTTAACCATCCCATTCTCTTTTCCTGGTAAAGACATTAACATTTGTAAGAATGTGAGCTGATGTGCCAGTGAAGGAACAAACCTCCTCCTCTGACTAGAGAAAAACCCCTGGTAAAACGCACAGGGAAGGCTTTTGCTGCTTGCCAACCCTCCAATAGACAATCCACTATGGACAATGCACTTCACAGGCACTATGGTCGGTTGTTCAAAGAATAACACTCAAAAATACTACTGGGCTAGTGCAAGAAAGAGCCATCCTTTAGATCACAGCCAAGGTACATTTTTGAACCAACTGTATTAACAAAAATCATATTCAAAACCTATGTGTCTCTCTGAGACGAGACTCTCCAAAGATACGTATGTAAATCAGACGGGTGCATTTAATTCAACTATGTATTAGGTTCGATCTCATTATTTTGAATGGTTGGCCCCCTTATGATTACTCAGGAGAATTCACCTTTGCATCACGCATAGGTTGTAGTGTAGTGGATTATATTCTAATCTCTCCCTTGTTGGAAAATCACATAAATTGTTTGGAGTAGGAGAACGCTTAGGAAGCAATCATTTTCCTTTAATTTTGACTATTCAGTTGCAGTATCCCCTGAAAAGCTCAATAAGCACTATCTCCACTCCATCTTTGGCGATGAATAGACTGCCCAAAATTGTTTGGTCTCCTACTGTTGCAGAAAACCTTCTGGATTCTAACATCTTAGTAGAACTCAATGTAGCTCTGAGTCAAAATGGAGATGTTACCCAAGTCTTTCAGGTTTATAATAAAACTATTAGTTACTTACTTGGAATCCCTTGGAAGTCAACTGGTACTTCGAAATTATTGTAATCAAAAAATACAGCCAGATGGTTTGACAGCAAATGCTATAATATTAAATACCAAATTCGATCTATTTATTACCATTTTAGAGAATACAATTGGACTCATCTACCAGATGAGTATTTCAATTTAAAAAACCAGTTATGTCAAATAGTTAAGATTAAATATAAAGAGCACATTGACAAATAATGGGCTAACCTCCTTCAGGCTACATTGTCAAATAACTCCAGGAAATTCTGGGCGCTGGTGTCAGATAAATATAAAAAGAAGAATGTCCAAATAAATGTCATCACACCAGATCACTGGTACGACTATTATTTGAAGCTGTTCTATGATAGTAATATAACTGCCACTAATCCCATTAATTATATGGTGTCTGAACTAGATGATATTCCCCAATGGCCTCCAATGAGACCAGGTTATTCCACTCATTGAACAGCTAAAGCCAAGAAAAGCCCCTGGCCCAGACGTAATTCCACCCAAAACATTTAAAATAAAATCGGACTGGTGGGCTATCTTCTTGGCAGATTTTTTTACTATAGTCGATAGGACGGGAATAATGCCAGAGTCTTGGACAAACGCGATACTGGTTCCCATCTTTAAAAAGGGTAATTACCAGTTACCATCCAATTACCACCCAATAAGCCTCCTCTCTATTATTGGGAAACTTTATGCTAGACGACTGGTCAACGAACTTGGATCGTGGATGTTAGAACAAGGAATTCTGGGTCAAGAACAAACAGGTTTTTGTAAAGGGGAATCTACCCGAAATCATTGTGTGACTCTTATGCACCTTGTAAATAAGTATAAGAGGCAAAAAGGCGCCAAAGTATATTTCTAGATCTAAAAGGTGCTTTCGATTCAATCACAAGAGAACGTCTATGGGAGAAACTCAAGCTGATGGGGATGGAACCGAGGCTTTTATATTTAATAATGAAGCTTCATCATAATACGACCTGCCAAGTTAGACTTAACAACGTCAGTGACCTGACAAAATTCAAATCCATATAGGAGTCACACAGGGCTGCCTTCTAGCACCTTTTCTATTCAACCTGTTCATAAATTACTTGGCACCTACTTTAGATCCGATCCATGGTCACAGCCCTAAACTTGACTCAATCCATACCCCTTTACTCCTTTATGCTGACGACGCAGTGCTACTGTCCCTAACTTGTATAGGGATGAAACACTTTCTGAAGAGCTTTGTAGATTATTGTGAAAAGAATAGGCTAGTTTTGAATTTTGAAAAATCCAAAATTATGATCTTCAGTAAGAGCTGGAAGCCACCTAGATGGAACATCAGAGAACATTTTATTGAACAAGTTAAAAGCTTTAAGTACTTGGGTATTCACTTTTACTACAACACCAGATGGGTCTATGCTTAGAAACCAATCAAAGGCTTCTATTGACCAGAGCATGGCTGATAACAACTCATAAGAGCATAAGCATAAGAGCATAAGAGAAGCCAATGTTTGATCAGGCCAATGGCCCATCTGGTCCAACACTCTGTCACACAGTGGCCAAAAATACCAGGTGCCATCAGGAGGTCCATCAGTGGGGCCAGGACACTAAAAGCTCCCCCACTGTTGCCCCCCCTCAAGCACCAAGAATACAGTGCATCACCTGCCCCAGCCTATGAGTTCCTATCTATACCTTGTGGCTAATAGCCACTGATGGACCTCTGCTCCATATGTTTATCCAGTTCTCTCTTGAAGCTGTCCATGCTTGTAACGGCCACCACCTCCTGTGGCAGTGAATTCCATGTGTTAATCACTCTTTGGGTGAAGAAGTACTTCCTCAGTTTTGGCTTAAACTTCACTTTCATGCTAAAGCTAAAAGTATCATTACTCATATGTTAACTCAGTCCCATCTCTCTCCATGGCTCAGATATGTAGAGGAGAAACTCTCTACAATGGGAATAACTTCAGATTATTTAGCTCCCTTTTCAGACAAACAAGCCTATGCTATTATCAAACAAAGATTTCTCGAAATCGAAATACAAGAACTTAGGGAACGTGCTGCTAGCAGATGTTCCCCAAGTAGTTGGGGACCTCTCATAAGGGCTCTACTGTGAAATATCTGTTATGTTTAACAGTCCCACATCATCGCAGAGCATACATGCTTGCACACTTTAATCTTCTGCCATCGGAGGTGCTTTTAGGAAGGTACCACCAGATACCATATGTAGACAGATTTTGTCCTTGTTTTCTAAAAGATATAGAATCCACTACACACACCATACTTTATTGCCCCTTTTATAGGGATATTCGTTCTTCTTTTATTACTCCACTTTTAGATGGTAAGAGTCAGCATTCTGATGACTCAATTATTCACTTTCTTCTGTTTAATTCTAATTGTGAAACAATGGAGGCTGTTGTGAAATTTTTACATTATGTAATCAGAAGACGGGGTCTGAATAGCTAAAGAAGAAGAAGAAGAAGAAGAGATTGGATTTATACCCCGCCCTTCACTACCCAAAGGTGTCTCAGAGCGGCTTACAAACTCCTTTCCCTTCCCCTCCCCACAACAGACACCCTGTGAGGTAGGTAGGGCTGACAGAGCTCTTGACAGAAACTGCTCTTTTTCAAGAACAGCTCTTATCAGAGCTATGGCTTGCCCAAGGTCATCCAGCCAGGTGAAAGTGGAGGAGTGGGAAATCAAACCCGGTTCTCCCAGATTAGAGTCCGCGCACTTAACCACTACACCAAACTGGCTCTCTAAACCGTGATTGATGTATCTTGGTATTTTGCTGTATTCCCATAATGTTTTGCTCTCTCAATGCCAATAAAGGTTTGTGTGTGACTGAACAAAAATCATATAAACAAGCTTGTTAGATACATAGATGTTTAAATCTAAACAATTACATACAAACCCTACAGATAGGTAATCATCTGAGGGAAAACATAAGTTGCAGTATATACATATACAAGTGGGACCTGCAAGAACCCTCCTTTCCTTTCCTAAAAGCCCCACAGCCTCTCCACTTCTTAACTGCCAAACTGGGTCTGGAGATTTCATACAGTCCAACCTCCAAAGTAGCCATTTTCTCCAAAGTAGCCATTTACACAAGGCTGTGTGGACAGTTGCCTCCTTGGATATTTCTCACCACCCCAGAATTCACGGCACGCTACGCCAACAAACTAATCTCTGCAATCTGGAGAGCAGTTGTAATTCAAGGTGATCTCCAGCTTCCACCCTGGAAATGGTTGCTTTGGAGGGTGGAGTCTACAGCATTATACCCTTCTGAGGTGCCAACTAACCCTTATCTGCCCTTCTGTCTTAAACTTTCCCTCCCCACACACAGTGTCTGCCTATAAAGAACTGACTCCAATTGTGTGGTGCCACAGTTCCCTACCCCATTCTCTCCTGAACCATTCACCAACCTACATTTTATCTGCCATCTTCAGCTATATTTATTATTTACTTACTTCATTTATACCCTGGCTCTCCTCTTTTTTACCCGCACAACCCTGTGCATTAGATTAGGCTGAAAGTATGTAACTGGTCCAAAATAAATTGGTGAGCTTCCACAGAAAGACGGGGATTCAAAGCTCAATCTCCCAGACCCTGTCTTGAAGCTTCAACCACTATACTGCACTGGCTTTCACAGAGTAGCTGCTGTTGAACAGTAACAAGCAGCCAGGCCTACTTGAGTCACACAAGTGGTATCAAGTCACTCAGAGGTTGCTTCCAGGTCTAGTGATGCCAATGTCCAGGTGGGACCTGGAGATCTCCTAGAATTACAACTGAACCTCAGATGACAGCAATCTGTCCCCCTGGAGAAAATGGCTGCTTTGGAGGGTGGGTTCCATCGCATTATATCTAGCTGAGGCCTCTCCCCTCCTCCTCCCCTGCCTTTTACTCACCAAAACCCAGCTTGGGATGCTGTTGTTGCCTAGTAACAGCGACTGAGAGAATCCCTTGATTAAATCTACAGGTACTCCTTTTATCATTTTTGGATTTTTTTTTAAAGCCCCCAAAGTATTTTGTTTAGATTTCACATTTTCCTGCAAATGTGGGTCTCTTTTCAGGCTTGTAGAAAGATCTGTCTTGCCCATTCACAGCTCCAGTCACCAGAATTAACTATTCAAAGATTTCCCAACTTCACCATTAGAACATAAGATTTTCTTAAAGTAAAAGATTAACATACTATTGTTGGGGGGAAAGGAAAATAAAGTTAAACCTACCAAAGCGGTACTGCACTTTAATTGGTCTTCCATATAAACGAATCCCATTCAGCAAAGCTATGGCATAAGGCACGGACTCAGTATGTTTAAAGCACACAAATCCAAAAGTCTTGGGTCTTCCATCTTTGTCTTTGCATATGGTCACTTTGGTTATTGGGCCAGCCTGCAAGAAGCTTCAACATTATTTTCACATAAAGCCCAAGTAAGAAACAGATTTTCATTTGCAGGATTCTAAACCTTGCTTTTCAAAGCACATAAATTTATGCAGTATTGCATACTACAGCCAAAACTACAGGAGAGTGGTAACAACCTTCAGCAACTAAACTACATAAATGTATGTCTGTGTGTGTGGGGGAATAAGGAGAGAAGATGCATAATTTGACACTGATTAATTATGGAGCTCTCTTTGTTGTCTCCCAGAACTGAAGCATTGTTCCCCATTAACAATTATACCAGTCAAGTATCAGAAACCAATAAAGTGATACTATCAATTTAGTGAGATATTGCCTTGATACACAGAAGTGATATACTGCAATAACCATTGTGTACTACAGCATGTGTGATACAGAGATCAAATGTAGTACAGTGATTATAGTGTCAAACTAGGATCTGGGAGAGATGCATTTGGAAACACACACACCCTTCTGCTATGGAAGATGGGTGAGTGATCTTGGACCAGTCAACTTCTCTAACCTACCTCACAGGACTGTTGCAAAGATACAACAGAACAGGGGATGGCAGAATTATGTCGTAATGTAAACCAGTTTGGATCTCCAATGGGGAGAAAAACAGGGTACAAATAGGTAAGTAAATAAATAAAATAAAGGAGCCAGTACTGAGTATTGGACTGGCTCTTCAATTTAGATTGACATCCCAGATCAGATCTCTATTTGGCAACAAAGGGTGCATTCAGACGAGCAGCTAATCCTGCCATTATGCCAGTTTGAATTTGATCCCGATCTTTATAATCCATCGTAGCATGACCAGACATCCCCCTAGTGAATCGCCTTACCGCACGCTGCCTCCGTTGTGGATTGTCTAGACGGTGTCCACTGAAGGAGGCATGCACGGTGGGTTTTCTTTTTTAAAAAATGTTGTGCATGTGCATAGGCGTCACAGCACGTCCTTGTTGAAGGAGGAGCGCGGTGGGTTTTTTAAAGAAAACATTTTGCGCATGCACATAGACGTGACAGCGCGTCCTTGTTGATCCACGCATGTATAGAGATTTTTTTAAATGGTGCCAGGTCGTGATGGTCTGACGTCAGGCCACCCTGATGGGAGGATTGTGCACTGGTGGAACGATCAGATGGGCAAAAGTCCGCAGCTGTCCCGCAGGTAACTGAAAACCCCAGATTTAAAGTGGTATCTTTTAAGTACGGCTCCGAAGCGCGGCAAAATGGGATGCCCATGGAAGAGGGACATTTCCCAGATGTTTGTGTCTGGACATTACCTTTAGATCCATGAGGCAATCGTGCCTCGCGTGGATCTAAAGAGCTGTCTGAACAGACCCAAAGACTGATGGGTGACTTAAGCCCAGCCACCATCAATTAGCCTAATATGTTGCATAGGACTCTTGTGAGGATACAAGGGGGAAAATACACCCTCTGAGCTCTTTTTTACTTAGCAGAATTCAATTTTAATATATGCCAAGGGCAAACTAAACCTCAGAAAGGAAGACAAGGAGAAAGCCAAAAGCAATACAATTAAAAATGTAACACAAATATTTCCTTTTAGTCAGAAGCATGCTTCAAAACCCCCAAATTCTTTTCAAAAACTTTCATCTGAGAATTTTTAAAACGAAAGACTTTTTCATTGAAGTGGAAAGAGAAGTTAGCTTGGCCATATAACTATGCAATTACTATGCCTCTCTTGTACTAGAAGAAAAGGTAACTGATTTTAAAAAAATGTTTCAAAAACCTTCTCACATGGGTTTGTTTGTTTGTTTTTAAAAAACTTCTGGTAGATTATCCTTCCAGTACAATTTTAATAAACCACAAGAAGGATCAAGGAAATCTCATTTTCTACCATATCCTCTTCTCCGCACTATTTTCACTTTACGT